TTATTGATAATTTTTTAAAGATTTTATTTATTTATTTGAGAAAGAGAAAGAGCTTGAGCTAGCATGAACAGGAGTGGTGGTCCGGTGCACTTTGGGGGGCCAAGGGAGAGGAAGAGGGAGACTCCCCTCTGACCTGAGGCCAAGTACAGGGCTTCATCCCACGATACACCACAACCTGATCCAAAGGCAATCTCTCAGCCAACTGAGCCACCCTGGTGCCCCAAGAGGAATCTGTTTTAAAGTGGTTTCTGGGGGTCAGCTCTTGTGAAGTCCCATTGAAATCAATGATAATACATAGTGAAGACGGAGTGAGAATCTACAGTTCAGAATGATGAAACACGCTTCTTGGCATTCCACCTATTGGCCAGAGTTTAGTGTCATTTCCCATAAAGTGGAAGAACTGTATATTAAAATTTATGTGTTGCTCACCCCTACCTGCCTATAATTGATAACCAAGTGATTAGTACTTGGATCCACAGCCAAAGACTATTCTTACTGCAATGACAGGGAAACAGAGGGAGTGAGAAAGAACTAGCAAAGGATAAATAAGATGTGATTTAACCACAATGTACATGAAAAAAATTAATGCATTTCAGTTGCACATGGATATTTATGGCAGATGGATTCATAATCGGCAATCCTAGGAAGTAAACAAGATGTCTCCCACTAGGTGAATAAATAAATAAACTCTAGTACATCTGGAGAATGGAACATTATTCAGCACTAAGAAGAACTGAGTTAGTAAGGTAAGAAAATATATGCAGGAAACGTACATGCATATTTCAGAGAGGAAAAAACCAATGTGAAGGGGCTCCCTTTTGTTTGATTTCAACTACAGGTATTCCTCGACATACAAGAGAGTTATGTCCCAATAAACCCATCATAAGTTGAAAATACCTTAACTCAAAATGCATGAAATCCTCCCAACCTTCCAAACCTCATAGCTTAACCTAGCCTACCTTAACTGTGCTCAGAACACTTATATTATTTATAAGCTGGAGGTGGGTAAAGTCATCAAATTCAAATCCTATTTTGTAATAAACATTGAATATCTTATGTAACTTATTGAATACTGCACTGCATGTGAAAATCAAAATGGCTATGTGGGTACAGATAGTTGTAAGTGTATTGATCGTTGACCCTCGTGATTACTTGGCTGACTGGGAGTTGCACCTCCCTGCCCCTGCCCAGGATCACCAGAGAGGATTGTACCACATATCACTAGCTTGGAGGAAGACCCAAATTCAAAATGCAAAGTACAGATTCTATGGCATGTGTATCACTTTTACAGCATGGTAAGGTTGGAAAAGTACAAGTCAAACCATTGTAAGTTGGGGGTCATCTATATATGACATTCTAGAAAAGGCAAAACTATGGAAACTGCAAAAAGATCAGTCCCTGGAACACAAACATTAGGGAGGGCAGAGATGAATAGGCGGGATGCTAGGATTTTTCCGGTAGGAAAACTGTTCTGTATGTCTTTGAATTTTGGATAGTGTTACCATACATGTCAAAACCCACAGAATGTACAAAACCAAGGGTGGGCCCTGATGTGAACTGAATTTTGTGTGATCATGATGTTTTGTTGTGGGTTCATTTAATTGTAATACATGTAGCATTCTGGAGGGAGACTGTCCCAGTGAAGGGGACAGGGGGTGTTTGGGATCTCTGTAGTTTCTGCTCTATTTTGTATTAAAAAAAGACTTCTCTAAAAAATAAATTTTATTAATCACAAAATACACTGCAGCACAATATTTAAAAGAACTCGTCTTATAACTAAATGAAGAGTCTTCTGAAAAAAGATTTTCTAAGAAAACAGATAATGTCTTAAAGCCTTCCAACTTTCATGGAAGGCATTTTGCTCATACTTCATAGCATGTAATATAAGATACCTGAAGAAACACAGCAATTAAGGCAGAGAAGGGACTGTGCCATGGTATGTTATGAAGAGGAAGATAGATTTACATTAGGTAAATGCAATGCAGAAGGCATCATCATTCTGGAGGCACTGTACAAAGAAATATGAATAGCAGGAAAAAATGATGAGGGAGAAAAAATTAAGTACAGTTATTATAACCAAGAGAAATTGGACAAACGATATTTGCAGCAGCTAATGGTAAATAAACCAAAATATTGCAAGATTTGATATTATCTCTTGAAAGATCATCACAAAACATTTGTCAGTTTATAGATTGCTTAAAATGACCAATATTGTTACGAGAAGAAAGACCATCTTCATGTGTAGAATGGAAAGATCAATAAAATGAACAATATCATGTGAGTTGGAAGGGGGAAAACGCAAAACTCATGTGGACAAATCAGAGGAAGGAAGCCAAGTACAGCAAAGACTCTAATGTGTTTCCCATCCGGTTCGTTCTCTGCTCACTGACTAGTCACAGGTGGTTTAGACTCAGCCTCATCCACCTGCATCGAAGCCAGCCAGTCAGTCTCTCTCTTCCACACGCCAGCCCATATGTGTGATGTTTTCTCATGCAGGAAGCATCAGGAAATCAAATTTTATAATATGTAATCTGTTTCAGATCAAACTACTTAGCCAAAGGATAACAAAAATCCGCTGAGAGATTGTTGGTTGGATTAAGCTCATTATATTACTTGTTCTCAACTGATTAAACATGAAAGCCACAGTAAGAAGTCCAAAGTCATTTCTGTGAAAGTTGTTGATTCTATAGAATGCTAAAGTCTCACAAACTTGGAATGCATGTCTAGATTTGTGGCAGAAAACGTCATTAACCTAGGTCAATATTGGGTGCAAATAATAATTTTGACCATTAATAGTGTTCTGAAATAGAAATTTATATTTTTAAGACAGCATGATAATGAAAACAAATGATATCCACTATTTAAAAGAGGCCTTTAAAACAAATTTGTTGTGTAAATATCTGAACTTCTATTCATTTTCAGAGACAGCTTTCTTTGATCCCACTAAGTAATGAAACAGGTAGAACATGCCCAGGAGAAAAGGTTTACTCTCACAACAGATTTCTTCTTTGTGTATAACTGCTGAGACAATCTGCCCACTCCCTCTCTGCTCTAACAGCTCTGGTGAGTTTCACCATCCTCATTATTTTTTCTGCTCTTTATACCTGTTTGGATGGTGCCCCCAGACTGACTGCAGCTCTTGGATTTTACTTACATATTCTAAAACACTTTCCATGCTTTTACCATCTTCCTTTAAATAAAATCTTGCTACCTAACATCTTCTCTATAGTGACATTTGCTGTGTTTCTTAAGCAACCTTTCTTTGAATCCTATCAAGCATGCAAAAAGGCCTTTCCTACATTTTTTTCCTGTGGAAAATCTTTTTCAGAGGTCTCTTTCCTTACACTTACAAGCTTTGATATATCTGCCATGACATAGGGCATATTTTCAATCAATAAACTTTATTTTTTAAAGCACCTTTAGGTTCACAACAAAACTGATCAGAAAGTACAGAAATTCCCATAATACACCTGTCCCCACACACAGCCTCTCCCACCAGAGTAATACATCCATTTCCATCAAAGGAACCTACACTCACATGTCATTATCTCCCCAAATATTCTTTTCATTAGGTTCACACTTGATGTAGTACATTTTATGGGTTTCAATATACATAAAGACGTGTATCCACAACTGTACTAACATACAGATGTGCTTCCTGCTCTAAAAATCTTCTGAGCTCTGTCTGTTCACTCTACCCTCCACACTGACCTTTGGCAAACACTGATGTTGTCGAGGTCTCCATTGTTTTGCCTTTTCCAGGACTCATGTAGTTGCAATCACATAATAGGTAGCCTTTTCAGATTGGCTTCTTACACTTAATCATACACATTTTAAGTTTCCTACATATCATGTCATGCTTGATAGTTCGTTTCGTTTTAGCTCCAAATAATATTCCATTGACCAGAAAATCACAATTTATTTATCTGTTCACCAATGGAGACCTCTAGGTTGCTTCTAACGTTTGACAGTTATAAATAAAACAGCTATAAACATCCATGTGCAACCAAAATATGCTTAGAAAATGACATATGGCTTGCTTTTGGTGTTAGACCATGTCTTAATCTGTCTTTTGCTGGGCTTTTGTTTCCACTTACTTATCAATTTTTACTTTATCAATTTTATTTTTCAGTCCCTTAAGATTTGTGGAAAATGTTTTATATTCTGTTAAATAGGTGCCATAAGAAGCAATTGTGATTTTAGCATGCTCAATTCTTGGTTCTTAGTCTCTCTATTTTTAATATGAATTCAGGAGAATTAATCACCAGGAGCCACTTTAAGAGAGGTTTGAAAAAAAGAAAGAAAGGAAGAAAGAAAGAATGAAAGAAAGAAAGAAAAGTAAAGAAAGAAAGAAAGAAAAGAAAGAAAAAGAAAATTAAGCTGGTTCTATACAGATTTTTTATTGCACAGCTTATTTCTGAATGCAACTACTGGAACTACAAGTGAATGTTCTATCATAAAGGTACTCATGATGATTGGTGTTATATGCAAGTAAGGAATTGTTGAACACTAATCAAAAACTAATTGTTGCACTGTATGTTGGCTAACAGAACATGATGATAAAAAATAAGTAAGAAAAATAAAGTCATGATTTTAATTTTAGATTTAAACTTCATCACTAGGGCAGAACGTGTATCACTATGTGGACTGGCATGTAAGTCCAGGATGTTTAATAGAATTGTCATTAAAATTGTTTTGCCTTGATAATTCACTGATCAAATAGTATTGCCTTGTTTGCTTTGGACCAGAAATTTTTGGTTTGTTGGTTTGTTTGTTTCCTGCAAATGACCCTATCCACACCTCCTGAATACTCCATAAAATTAAGTTTTCAGTTAATTCTGGTATGGGGGAATTAGGATTCATTTAGCTTTTGCGTTAAGTTTGTTTCTAGTATCACTTTCTTTCATGCATTCCATTCATGAGTGTGATGGGATATAAAGATCATGAAATATTTCTTATCTTGCTTAGTTACATGAAGCTCATTTTTTATATAAATGTGTTTAGTTATACGTTTCTTCACTATTCTTATTATTTGAAAAAAATGTTTGACACCAAACTTTTCTCATGACACTTTTCATCTCTGCATTTCTCAGCATATAGATTAAGGGATTGAACATAGGAGCAAAGATGGTATAAAATAGAGCAAATATTTTGTCCTCAGGGAAAGTGGTTGGAGGTCGAAGGTAGACAAAGATTAAAGGCCCAAAAAATAAGCTGACCACAGTGATATGAGACCCACAGGTGGAGAGGGCTTTGCGTCTTCCCTCAGCTGAGTGATGTCTTAGACTAAATAAAATAATGACATAAGAAACAAATAAGACAACAAAGGTAACTAAGGTGACCATACCTGAATTGGCAACCACAAGGATCCCAGTGATGTAAGTTTCAGTGCACACAACTCTCAGCAGAGGGAAGATATCACAAAAGTAGTGATTAATTTCATTAGGACCACAAAAGGGCAATTGGATTGCCATCAATAATTGAGGAAAAGAATGGAGAGCCCCACCAGCCCAAGAAACCAAGACTAGGAGATGGCACCTTGTCCTGTCCATGATAATCACATAGTGGAGAGGTTTGCAGATGGCAA